CCCCGCCTCTCGCCTGGCCCCTCTGCCCTCTCCTCCTTTCCCCCGGCCCCTCCTGCTCCCCCTCCATGTTATTCCTTCCTCCCCCGCCACCCCCGCTTCGCCTCCGCGGTTCCCCGCGCCGGGCCGCGGGGTGATGGGGACCTGTCCCCGCACCCGTCTGTCCTTCTCCCACCTGGCAGCCTCTCGCTCAAGGTCACTGCAGTAATTCCATATGAGCTGCCGAGTGCTGCCGCCTTATCTCCCGCACAGCTTCTGTTTCACTCCCTTTATGTTCCAGGGGGAGTGGGGGGGGGGATAACGTGTTCGATAAATCCCACTGCTTGTACCACCGCTGGCACCGCTCCAGCCAGGGCCATGCTCCTCTCACCCCAGCCCCTGCTCCCCATCTCTTCCCGCGCAGACTTCCCGAGCTGCCTCGTGGCGGGGCAAAGTCCAGCTGGGATCAGGTCTCCAGCCCGGACGAGTGGTGCTGGAGCCCATTGCAGTGGATCTGGGGTTTGTCCCACCCAAGGAGACCATTTGGAGGCAGGGGGGACCCTGTCCCGGAAGAGGAGTGCTGGTGTTTGCCAGTGTTTGTCAGTGTTTGCCGGGCCGGTGACACCTTTGGAAAACGTGATTTTATCTCCTGCCTGGGTGTTGGTGGAAAGCAGCGCACGGAGCCAAGTCCTGGAGGACTTTGCTGTGTTGCTGCCCTTGTCCCGAAAGCGTTTCTGTGCCAGGTGGGCAACGGTGCGGCCGTCTGCACCGCAGGCTTTCCCGGCGAGATCCAAAGGCCGCATCGACCAGCTGCATTGCGAAAGGGAATCGATACAGGGAAGCGTCTATGAGAGAAACTTCGGCCACCGAGAGCATGGCGGTGCCAGGCTCCTCTCTGACTCACGGGGGACGTCGCTGACGGGGCCGTGGGGCGCCCGGCCGCTGTCCCGCCAGAGCAGGAGGTGCCGGACCAGTCGCACAGGTTGCACAGGAACGTGGCCGGCACCGTGTGTGGTTTGTGGGCACATTGGCACGGCCCCGACCCAGCTCCGGTGGGAGGGAGCAGTGTCCTGAGCTGGGAGAGAGCTGAACACGGCACAGCGGCTGCAGTCCAGGGAGGTACCAGCACCCCAAGGTGGGTGGTGAGATGGAAACCAGTAATCGCTGTCTGCAGGCACTGCTGCATGGGGGAGATATTCCTCTGCCCACAAGCGTTATCTTGGATGGGGGAAAATTGCCAGTGAGTCTTGTTGCAGCTGCAGTGGGGGCTCTGGGAGCAGCCTGGCGCCCTGACCCTGCAGTGCGGCCCTGCGGAGGGCAAGGCAGCTCCAGGCAGCCTCTGCCTCCTGGCTTTGCTTGGAACTCTGACAAAATGAGGGTAAATGGTGTCTTCCCACCATGCAGGGAGAAGGTGAGGACTAGGACTAGCCCGGAGTAGGGCACAGAGTGGTGCTGGGCTCATGTCAAAATGGGTCCAGACTGACCCACATGGTTTTGCATCCCTTTTGGGTGCAGTGTGTCCCAAGGACGGGCACTGCCCGCCTGGGACGCACCAGGGCACCTCCCAGCTGCCCTGGCCCAGGATCTGGGTGCAGAGAAAGCGCAGGCAGTTTAGGGGTTTTTGGAGAGGGAGATTGCGTTATCCATCCCTCTCACTGACCTGACACTGGACAATAGCACCTCGAATTTGCAACCTCGCATCAGAGTGTGCTTCCTTACCTGCAGCCTCTTGTGGTAGCAAAATTACCGAGTTTGCTTGGAAAACCCACCTGAGTGGCTGTCAGCACTGGTAAGTCGTGGCAGGCTCTGACTCATGGCAGGGTTTTGGTTTTGCGTGAGGGTTGGGGGGCCTGAAACCAGCTTGCTGGGACGGTGGGGCTGAGGCAGCCAGGATGTGGAGGAGGTTTTCAAGTGGTTACTTTTAGAAGCAGAAGTGTAGGGTAAAATCTCCAAATGTTGCTGAATCTGGAGCCAAATCTCCTGGTGGCTCTGCGGTGCTGGGTATCAGCTTGCTATGAGATTTTTTTTCCCCTTGAGCATCCTGCATATCTTTGGGTCAGTGAGCAGTGGCAGCCCGGCATGGTGCACTTGACGCCCCGATGATGGGAACTTCCACCTTAAGAAGTGCCCCAGGTGCCAGCCAAGGGCTCTGGGGATGGGTCTCGGTGGCTGGGGTGATGCTGAGGTCT